GAAAGGTAGGGATGAGGAACTGGTATTGTCAGTGTCCATGTTGGAGAATGGCAGAGCATCACTCGTGATGTTAATGATTGAACTTTGTGATTTGATTTAAGAACTGGTTTCTTCCCATATCCTGTGTAACATTTTTCTGCCAGTTCACTTGCCCTTTAAAAAAGGAGCAGCCTGACAAACTTCTTTCTCAATTCACACTCTTGTTTGTCCCAAAGAGGAGCTTGAAATTTGCACCACTGCAATACACTAATGTCAATATTTACTGGTAGCTACCTGGAGATTGTGTCCTTATGTACATGATTATTTATAAAAAAGAAGTCATTGTTATTGCTGTATTTAACCACAACCACTGAAAACCAGTACAGAATCTGTCTTCAGATTTTCCTCTTTCTTTCAAGTTGCATCTTTTAGATAATGTAAAACTAACCTCTTGTTTTCCCCTCAGCCAATTGTTTCTATCTATGTCTTTGTTTCCCTCTTTCTCAATAGATTGTTCTTTCTTCTTTCATATCTCTGCTTGAAGAAACCTGCCCTCCTCCTATTCTTCTTCTCTGGGGGTCTGTTTGCTAAGTTGGTCAGGTAAACCTATTTATAATTGACTATGAAGAATGATACGATTTTTTTTACCATGATAAATCACAGGGAAATGTAGAATTTCTTAGTTAGCAAATAACTTTCTACCCTGATCACTTTCCACCAAAATAAAGAATTGTTTGAAGCTTTTGTGACCATCAAGATTCTTGCGGGTTTTGGAACAACATTTGCTTAAAAGTAGAGGGAGCAAAGATCTCAATTTTATGGTGAACCTCAACACAGATTACAAATGATTTCAGGATTATGGAAGTGGTTATGTGATAACTTCGATCGCAAGTGATTTTGTGGTAAGAGCCACTGAAGTTTTGCTGTTTCCTTCCTTCTGCTTCTGCCGAACTTGCTTTTTTAAATACAGAATTGGGTTAAAGGCCTCATCATCAGCAACCCTCTTTGGCCGTAAATTATGATCAGTTCCAGAACATCTCTGTTGTGTGTAAATAACTCTTGCAAAAATCATATTTCCATTCATCACTGGGCAATTTTCTATCCCAAGTTATAAATTCTCATGTGCAGAAAACTACTTATCTATGGCTGGCAAAACCAAGATTCTGGACACTGCAGAACTTGAACACTTTTTGAAAAGGCGAGTGCTTATGTCCAAAATTCTTTCAAGAATCCTTTGTTTGCCAGCCATAGACGTAGACACCCATCTGCGTGTCCTTAAGCAGGTGCATTGCTACTAGCCTAGCATATGTCGTCTTGATTTGTGGCCCTGCTTTTCCCCAAGAAGCAGCTTGACATTTTTATTGAGTTTTTCTTGAAGTCTGCATATACACTTATTTTCAGATAATATTATTATTTTTAATGATTTTACTTCACTTCTTTTTTTTTCCTATCAGGCTAGTGATTGGTACATACTAAGATTTTAAAGAATGCAATGGAAATTCAAATAGATATGAAAGACTACAGTGTTAAATCCTGAAACCTATAGTTAAGAATGTAGAGGAGGATCTGCTTTTCTGCTGCATTAGAAGTCCTACTCTATTTTTTTACAGCTTTTTAAAAAAATTTAATATTTTTATTCTGATCTAAAATAACTAAGAAAAACTACTTTTTGATTCCTCCCTAATAGAAATACTGTTTCTGAAAAAATATTTTTTTCCTGCAGAAAATTAGAATTGTCTTTCTAAAAACTTGATGCTGCAATAAATTTTCAGTGTAACTCCCTAAGCTGAATGTAATAAGTTATGGCCAGTCTGTGCAAATACGCAATCGATGCACTAGGATTGGTTTTTGTGTACAGTGTATACATGTGGAGTGATTATGAGAAGTGGCATTCTGAACAGCTTTATAATTGATAGACAATGTAATATTTACCACTGATAGATGCTCCTCAACTTTTCTTATGAGGAAGTCGTATTCTAAGTTTTTCTCTAACAAATTAAAATAAACCTGAACTAATGTTGGTTTCTGTTCTCTGACATTAATTTAAAAATACAGGACTTAAAACCAGGAGATGTATCTGGCAAACGTAATCTCTGGGAGAAGCAGTCAGTTGAAAAGCCAGCTTCTTCTTCTAAGGTAACACTTCACTGCATTAGTAAAAGGCTAATATCTCTATGGGAGGCTTTCTAGGAGGAAGGTGCTGTTTGCCTTCATGCAGTCAGTCAGTCAGTTGGAATTAAGCCTCTATGTGCCTTTTGTTCCTAACCTGCCTTTTTATCTATAAAAGAAAATATAACAAGGTGCAGAAAGCCATGGGCAATGTGTAACTTATATTCCTATTTGGCAGAGCTGTGTTGTGCATGGAAATCTGTCTTTTGCGTGGAGTTGATTTTTTTCCCTGTTATAAATAGCTATATTTCCCCATATTTAACTTTACTAATGAGTTTTTACTTTTTCAAACAGGTATCAGCTATGGGGAAAAAATCAGAGACTAATGGTAAGTAATTCTTATAACACACCTGCATATTAAAGAAAAACTTTGCCACATATTCACACAAACAAATCTGTGGCTTAAAATTGTTCAGCTCTTAATGTTGATGCAAAAAAAACCTCCTTTTTGCCTTTGCCCTTCAAAAGCTCCATTGCAATATCATCAAAGCATGAATGTTTGAGGAATAAACCTAAATAATCTCTCTAGGAGGACTGAGGATTAGCAGCACTCCAGGCACATTTTCAAAGCCTTGCTCAAGTTATACATGAAGTGTGTTTGCTGTAGGTGGAGAGTATCATCGAACTGTGTGAGATCTGAGGAACAGAATTGTCATTTAACTAATTACAGCAAAGGCAAGGCATCTGGGAAAGGTTCTTTTAAAGGCTGCAGTGGCAGTGGATACGTGGTGAGAAGGAACCCAAAAAGCGAGGCTGTTACAGCAACATTATTTGAGCAGAAATGGAAGACTTCAGTACTGCTGAGAACGAGCCCTGCATCTGATTTTAAACACTGGCACTGGGTAATGGTGAAGCCTGATGAAAATTCAGCAGTGTTGATTTTTAAAAATAACTCCTCTGGTTGGTTGTCTCATGTGCTCCTGCATACCCAAATTGGACTGGAGTTCAAACACACTGAGCAGCAGCTCTGCTTTTACTGGAGCTCTGCACTGGTGTCTTCTCAAGGCAAAGAGAGACTTACTGTCATTTTGAAACTACTAGTTTGGGAACCACAGTCTAGTTGTACAGAAGGAAATCAGCAAAATTACCCTCCTAACTTTTTTTGGTTTTAAATTTAATATAAAACACTCCAATTAAAGCAAATTAAAGGAATTATGTGCCTAAGGACCAGTGGGGAAGAAAGGAAATTCACTACTCAATTTAATAGCTTTACGATGCTTTGCAACATCCCTTGACTCTTCACTAGGAATGAAATGCTCAAATATAGAAAAACTTTTGGTTTTCCACACATCAATGTGCGTACACATTCTTCTTCACATTTGTATGTGAAGCCAGAGCTACAGTATGCCTGTAGACCTACCCATTTAAAGTTATGCAAAATGAAATTATCTTCTTCCTCCTCCTCTTTTTTAAACTGAGCTGTTAGGAGAGGACTTTTCAGACCTGCTTGATGTTAGCCCTGCTCAGTTCCTGTGGAAGACAGCATCTAGCTTGTGTCCTGTCTTCTTACAAGCTGTGCGTTAGTCTAGAGCCACATCTTCTCTATTTTAGAGATCCATTCAGGTTATTTCAAGCTGTCTTTAATATTTCTCTTTCTCAGCAGGTTTGAGACAATTTGAGAAAGAACCGTAGAAGGCTACTAACGACGCTGGACCAATCAGTTGGGGGGAAAAAAAAGGAAAAAAGTGCTAAATTGTTCTTTTTATATTTATGTTTATTTACCAAAATGTCTTTTTGCATTATCCCAGTTAAAACCATGTATATTAGCACTGTATTTAATAATCAGTCTAGACATTCATCATAATAGTACTGCCTTTGCACAAGAGCCTTTATTCCTAAAGAAACCCATGCTGTGAAATATATAGACTCTCCTACTGATAGGCATAACTAACTATATATCTGAACAGTGATTTCAACTGGCATAAGAGGTCAACCCAAAATGCGTGTAAAGTGAAGTTGCTCAAGAAGGTTGTGCAGTAAACCTATGAAAACAATGGTTACTTTTGGAATACAGAAGTCTTTCTGCACTTTAGACTAAGGCATGGAAGAAATATCTTTAGTTGACAATGTAATATTTTCTGTAAGTTGCCCATGTCATGAGAAATACTGCATCAATAACTTGTTTTAAATTTTTTTGTTTTATACTTTTTTTAAGTATCATTTTTTCCATTCTAGTTTAAGTTAATACCTAAATTTGGATGGTTATGTTAGCTGACAGCGGTACTGATATTTCTTTTTGTTGTTAGTGACTAGTAATTGAATGCAATTTAGAATATATACACACATAGCTTTACAAAGTTTAGCCTGAAGGCACTACTAATGGTAGAATGCTTTAATACGTGCTAGAGTATTATATTTAGTAATAAACATACATAATTAGCCAATATCACAGCTTAAAAAAATAAAGACAAAATCACACACTTTTCTATAGTAAGATTTCATAATTGCCATTAGAGGTATGGTGAGATAAGTATTAAAAAATTTTAAATGTCAGTTGCCCAGTAATGGGTAATTAAAAAGAAAGTATAGTTTTTAAAAGAGGAAAAGGTAAGGGTATAGAGGGTCCAAAATAGGTCACTTGTATAAAACATTGTAGTTTAATTTATATAAAACTACCATAATTAAAAATAAAAAACCTAAACACAGCTGGAGCTTCTTTCAAATGACTGTACACTAAATCTTACCATCCGTCAGTGCCGTACACTAAGTCCACCTAAAATGAAATAAACCTCTATCTTTATAGTGCTTCTTTTTAACTCTCTCCTGAATATCTTATTTACAGATGTTTTCATTTGTATATAGTAAACACACGGCTATAAGACGTCAGCTTGGTTTGGATTTACATGCCATACAGTTTAGCATTTACATCCTGCAGTGTATGGGAGGCAGAAACTGAGCAACTGAAGTAGCCCCCGAGCACGTTGTTAACAGCTTTGTTGTGCATTGAAACTACCAGGATCTCCCTTTTCACCACTTCCATCTCTTACAGCATCTGACTTCTTCCTGAAGAAGAATAATGTTATATTTCAACCCAAAGATGAGCTCCCCTGCTTTGCTGAAACATCTTGTTTACATATAGAGATGCACATAGTTATCTGTAGGGGGTGAAACTGTGCCTGACATCGTCTGTGAGTTGTCATGTTTTTTGTTTGGGGGTTTTGTAAACACTCCTCTGAGTCTTTCAAATACATCTGATAGCTGTAATAAAAATTATTTGTTCAAACAATGTATTCTGAAACCGCATCCACAATAAATGGAATATTTCCATCAGCAGCCCCCTGTTTGTTAATGAGTAGGAATGAGTCAGTTAGTGTAACTGGAATAACCTTATTCCTTAAGGAATAACCTTAAGGCTGTGTAAGATAAGCTGCTGTTGCAAAGATGCTTTAAGGATGTCTCTCCTGATGTACTCTTCTACAGCAGACAGCCAAGTTGTAAAATCAGCAGCTTTGACAGAAATACTCTTAAGGGGAGGAGGGGGAGGGTGGAATACCTTAATTGTCTTGCCTATACAAGACAGGAGCTGTGCATCATCCAGAAGTCAGTGTGCCCAGTAAAGTAGGTTCTGACCTAGCAGCACAGCCATCTGCTTCCCTGCTTTGAAAAACATTTGCTCTCTGAGAGCCGTTGTATTTCTCCTGTCTGCCTTGGTGGGATGTGCTTTCAGGCCTGGATGGTCACAGGGACCAAGCCTGGGGAGCAGCTGGCTCTCCCGTCATCCTCCTGTCCCCTTCATTCTTGCTCTAAGAGCAGCACAGCACGTAGTGCCCTTCTCTAACCATCTTGCCCCCTAGGCTGCTGCCAGCTCCATGGGAAGGAATAGGAAGGCTGCAGCAAGCACAGCTTTCTGAACTACTGGGAGGGAAATAATCAGATGCTGCCTAATTTAAGCTGAAAAGAGCTTGAATGCTTGCAAGAGTGCCTGTTCTCCAGCCTCATACTGCCCAACTATGTTGATGCATTTCTCTGCAAGCTTTGCTGAGCATCCTTGTTGATGTAGATAATTTTTTTTTTTTTGTTCCTGGTTATTGCATTTTCTGAGAACGTGGAACTATGCTGGGCAAAATAAGTTTTACCTTTAGGAAATACTGTAATGTGGGGTGGTCATGGTTTGTTCCCACCAGCTGGCACCACCTCCTGGCAGAATTCATGAAAGACAAATCTGGGTGACTGAGTGCAGCAATGCAAGTTTTTTTTGTGTGTTTCGGTACTGTTATGAGGTGATGATTTTTCAGACAATACCAGATTGTCACGTTAGTTTCTAATCATGCTTTCCTGCAGCTCACTCACCATCCTAGCCAGGCTTTGTCTTGTCAGTGTGCAGAATGCCGCAAAAACAGCCTTTTTCAAGCCTGCCTTTGCTTTGGCCTAGCATGATCTACCTGAAAATTGTGAGTCTACTTACTTTAGGGTCTGCTTTGGTGTTTTTAAAGAAAAGTTCTTCTATGTTGTCCTTAGATAAAGCCAACTCTTGTCTGAATATATTGTTCTGAATGCCACCAGCACTTCCAGAGCAAGTCAGTCTGATTTTGTAGGTAGTGCTTGTGTTTGGCTAGGTGTAGTTTGATATGTGTTATCACTACATATCATGCTGTCTTCAACTTTTCACCACTAATCACACAAAAATTCAATTTCTAGGTGTTCAGAGGAAGGGCTACATAAGGTAATAGGTACAACTTTCTTCTTTAGGTTCTAGCTAGATCATGAACCTATTTATTTGATGCTTAAGCCATGAAATATGTATTGTCCTTGTACAGGAAGTATAGAATTATCTGTATTAAAATCTAAAAAAAAACCCACCAGACTTCAGGCATGTTTTAATAACTAATTGTATGAAAAAAATAAGCACTACAGTGATTAAGTTTTGTTGTTATTCAAACTTTATTCATATGAAATTTTAAAGCTTTAGAGATTGACACTATAAAAATCCCAACCATGCATAAAGCAAAGTGATTAAAGAGAGCATTTCTTGACTGCAACTCATGAGACAGTATGACTAACCCCACTGGAAATAACATATAAAAAATAGTGTAAGTAGCCAGTGTTTTTTCTTAAACATGTCTTTAATTAAGGAAGAAAAGGAAATGAAGAGACATTGTCTTCTTACTATTCATCAAAACCAGGTTTATGCTAGCCATCTTTACAGAAGACCCATTCCTACTGATGCATTCTTATACCAGCCAGAGGGCTCCTCCTAAAAAAGGAGGACAACTAACTGCTTATAATGATTGTCAAGTACAGAAGAAGAAATCAGGACCAAGCTACAGAGTGTGTCTTTTAATCTGGGAAGAGCTACACATAGATCTCGCAGAAACCACTTGCATTAATATTCTGCTTTGAATGGGTAGTCCTTGTGGTTGACAGCTCTGAAAAGAGAAAGAATTGGTTATTTCAGTACTGTAGAAAGTATCTTCAGCAGCATTTCCCTACCACAGTCTCCCTCCCCCACTGGCAATGAACTCAAGTTTTGTTGCTGTCATTAATTTGAACACAGGATTGTGAGCAAGCACATGCAGCAGCACCAATACGCTGAAGGGAATGCCCTGACTGAATCTCCCTCCTGAGGTCAGTTCCAGGACATCTCATTACCTGGAACCCAGGGTTTAAGGTATCAGTTTTCCCCGGTTTTGGTCATGTATGTTTTCAAGATACGAGGAATAAAAATACAGATAGAGATAGGCCTAGTGGATAATAAGGAACATACTGGACCACTGGAACTGCCCTCCAGTTCCTGTTAAAGGTGAGGATGACATCCATCTCCTTTTTAGACAGTTCAAAGTCAAACACCTAGGGAAAACAAACAAACAAAAAAGTAACTTAGATTAACTTAGATTAATTTAGATTAACTTAGATTCATGAGTAGTTAGCTACTAAGTGTGCTTCATACATTTATGATTTGAGGTAGGAACATACTGCATCCACACTAAGCATAGTCAAGAAATCCAAGAAATGCCAAATACCGTTTTATCCTTGAATTAATCAAGGTAATCCTTTCCACTCTGAGGTGCTGTTCATAGCAATGTCTTACAGTTCTGGGTGGATGAATGCAAACACTGCTGTAGTTTGTGTCATAATGCACAGATAGAAAACTTAAGGTGCTAAGGATGGATTACTCCATGCAGCACACACACTGGAATTAGCAGTAAATATTTCTCCTACAACAGAGGATTACTGGGTACCAACTGCAAAGAGTCGTCTCACAGTTAATCAATCATCTAAGTATTCTTGCTGGTGCTTCATGGGAGAAGTAAGTTCAAAATGTCACAGCATCAACTGCAGGTAACAGAGATATTATTTAAGATGCCAGGCCTTATGCACAAACATCCAGCTGAACCTCTCTGCCAAGGGGGACTCCAGCCTCAAAGTGAGACATAAACCCTTAACAATTTATTATTTTACACCCTAAAGAAGGGCTCACTAAGCTTTTCCCAGAGGGCAAGTTCAAAACCACAATTCCCTTTCCAGGGCAGCAGAGCTTGAATCACTCCAGTGTAACCTATTTCTCTCCTGGCATGAACAAAATAGTCTTCCCCAGAGAACCATGGCAGGTGATTAGGTAGTGCCAAGCCCAAATCTTTATATCTCTGCACTCTCCTTCCAATGCCTCTTAGGTGCTGCTTGGAAACATGGAGGAGATAAGGGTGTGGCTGCCTATCCACTGTAAAAAGGTGGCAATGGAATGGAAGTGTCACCTTGATGTTTTCCTGAATACGCTGTGGTTTGTCAGACTTCGGAATGACAATCAAGTCTCTTTGGATAAGAAAGCGGATAAGAATCTAGGAAAAAACAAGGAAGAACATGAACACAGGAGTACCAAGAAATTGATATCAAGAAATCTCTTAATCTTTTTTTTCATGCACAAACCGATTTCTCTTTCTACAACCATGTTCACTCTTTGGAAGATTCTAGCAGTTTGCAAACAGGTATTGTGCCAGCATTTGCTTGTAGTCTACTGACAAACTACAATTGATTCTGGCCTATGTTGTTTCTGCATCTTGGCTTCTCCAGGATTCCTTTTGTTTTCCTTTAGGGTTGGAGGGGGGTAGAAAAATGATGATGCTTCTGACTTGTGCTATATGTGACCAAATGTGCATAATGATACTGCAGGTTGTTTTGGGCTCACAGGTAAGTACCTCACTGAGGTTAAGCTTTTTGAAGTCCTTCAAAAGGAAAAACACATCTATAGATTTTAAAAGTCTCATGTGTTGTCACCCTACCTCAAAAGAGGACTGTTGCATACATTTTTTTCGGTCATGCTCTGGCTGTCTTAAAATACGACTTGGGTTGATTGCTTGTGAATATGTGGGTTTGTCTGAATAGCAGTTTCTGCACACCCTGGACAAGAACTCATTTGTGTGACTAGCAACTAATAGAGAAAGAGTTTCATCTTGAATAATCAAGCTGTTTTCAATGATTCTTTGTGAACATGAGCAAACAGGGAGCAATCAAATAGGTCTGCAAAGTACAGGGCTGTTCAGGAAGAATAGTTTAGCTAACTTCACTGAAGAAAGGAATAATAAGTTGGCTTGATGATTTTTAAGTAAACCTCAGAGGAAAGAGGTTCTCAGGGAGCAAGCACTTCTCTCTGGGTGCAGAAAAATTCTCCCTGGGAAGGGGAACACCTGAGGTAAGCATGTACCACTGCTGATCAGCTTCCCCCAAAACTCAGCACTCATGAATCTTAGAAAATGCCTGATAATCCGTATGAATGCTGGTAAGAACGGGGGCAGTATGAAGAGTCCAGTTCCCATTATACTGTACCTCTAGAGAAGGCAGCATCTGCTAAGACTGGCCATCAGCCTGTAAAAATGTCTGAGGAGGAGGAGGAATAATTTGCCCTGACAGGGCCACTTACCTGGGCGGGGGTTTTGTGATGTCTGGCTGCAATCTCTTTAATCTTGGGATCCTCCAGCAGAGTAGGTTCCCCTGGCTTGGCCCTATTAAAAACAAAAGCCAGCATATTGATGGTAGAAAGTTATTAGCTTCCATACAGGAAGCCTGACACTTTGTGTGAAATTATTATACATGCAAGATTTACATCATTTGTCTCAAAGATTCAAGTTGCACATGCCTTGTTTTGTGTACAGAAAGGCTGCAATGCTTTCTTACCATGGGCGGTTAGGAGAGCCAAGGGGGCTGTAGGCAGTCACAGCAATCCCTTTGGATTTACAGTACTTGATCAACTTTTCCTGGGTTAGGTATGGATGACATTCAATCTGCAAGCACAGAAACATGGTGGTTGATACAGAGGCAGACTACACTGGGCTCTAGAGCATAATGTTAATTCATCATGGTTTTCAGAAAATGTGAAAAAAAGACTTCCAATATCATGATTAAAATCTATCTTATACATTTTTAATGCCACAGCAATACCTAGAGGCTTAGCACAGAGAACAGGGCTTCATTATGCTACATATTATACAAAGATAGTAAGAAATAGAGTGGAAGCGCTATCTGCATCAAGAATTGCTGAAATCAGTCTTTCTGGACTACTGGAGAGCAGGGTGGCATCTTCAGAGGGGCAGCTCAGGATACCTGCAGTTTAGTTTCTGCTCTGAGTCACTCAATCTCTCCTCTCCTCAAAGAATCTCCCTGACTCCTGAAGAGGCCTGGGAGATAAGCTTCCCTAGGTTAGCTCAGATCATGTTGCGACCAGACATTTGGGCAAGATGTCCTTTAACTGGAAACAACAGCACCCTACACGGGGATGCTGCTCAACTTGCCACAAGCCATAGTATGGCCACAGGGCTATGTCTACACTGCGTAATATGGCACCGTGCACATACCCAGCCGTTTCTAAATGCTATAGCATTGCTTCCAGGCATGGTGACATGAAAACCATGTACAGTGGTTTGTTTAGACCTGAGCTAGATTAAGCAACTACTGTAGCAACAGTGTGTGGAACAGGCACATCCATGGAGAAGCAAACTGGAGTCAAAGCCTGAAGTTCTTTAAAGTGTTGAAGTTGGTGCAGCTTTTAAAATTAGGGTAGTTGGGTCCAACCCCCCCAGAACTTTATAACCCTCAATAAAAATCTTTCAAATCCTATGACCGCCTTGTTGTAAACCTGGCCAGTGCATATGTTAGCCCCAAGCCCTGCACCGCAGTGCAGCAGCACAGGCAGCACCATACCTGCACAGGACCCAGTGTGGGGATTTCCCTGGATATTCCCAAGCCAGCAGAGACAGGCATTCAGCACCCTCAGTTGAGTGCAATGAAGTCGCATATGGAAGAAAGTCAGAAGGTTCTGATGCTCCTGTTGTCCTGTGATTTCATTCATGAGGTACGTGGTGAGAATTTGTTTTATAATTGTATACTTCAACTCTCTTTTTTATAATGAAGTTTAGTGAAATGGTTTGTTGAACCACGAATGTTGAAAAATGACTAAGTTCAGTGAATGAGTTAGAGCATTCCTGTACATCCCCATGCCTATGCAGTAGCTCATAGTGGAGATTTTGTTGGTTATCCCAGGGCTGGCAGAAATGAGCCTGTGGCAACTTGAGCTGTGACACTGGGAGTGTGAAAGAGGACATGTAGCAGAAAGTCTCAAGTTCTTATACAAGGTAATAGATAGTTACCCTTTTTTCCAATGTCTAAAAATGAAATATTCTCATCTGTTTCACATTACTGTGATATGAATAATATATAGTTTTGTATGGTATTGCTCTCAAATCTCCACTGCATTATATACACACATGAGTCTACAAAAAATCTTCTGTTGAGATCCCCGTCAGCTAAAAATTGCCAACACTGACACCATGCCAAAGCCTTGCGTATTGCAGGCAGTACTGACTTGAAGGGACTTTCTGACAACCAGAGATACCTAGTGCTTTGCAAGATCTTCCCATGGCACCAAAACTATTTAAAGGTCATGGCAGAAGATAGTTCTAGAACTGAAGTGTGGCAGGAATATATTTAGGAATATCTCAAGGTTAGTTGACATCAATGGAAAAAAAGTCTTACCTGGCAAACGACTGGCTTGTATTTTAGTCCTGGCTTGTTCAAGAGTCTTTCAATTTGCTCATGGTTGAAGTTGGAAATGCCAATGGCTTTTACCAGACCACAGTCCACCAGCTCTTCCATGGCCTAACAAATAAAGACAACCAGCATGTACTGTGAACTACAATATTTTATTTCCCTAAAGCTAGTGACAAACCAACAAAAACCCACACAATGTTAAATAATAGTATCTCAAATTAAAAAAATTTATCTTTGCACCTTGTATTATCTGTATGCTTTATAGTCTGTTGCAGATGGAAAAGTAATACAAGAAGAATGGCGTGGTCAACACTTTTGTACTGAGAAACAAAAACTTTTGCTTTGGCTTCTTTGGGGGTCATTTTACCAGAGCTAACAAAAACCTGAAGTGAGACCCCTCTGCCACCTCCTATGCCAGCACACTACCTCTGAGTTGGCAGAACACAGCAGGGAGGACATTAGCTTAAACTTAGTTACCTCAAAATAATTTCTGGAAACTGTACTC